AAAAAAAAAAAAAAAAAAAATACCTTATGCTTATTATTTGCCTTCCGAAACCAAAAGAAATCACTTAGGTAAGTGCAGGTATTGGAAATAGACGTGTTTTTTTGTTTATGTGTATGCAGCATACATGTATATTGCTAACAACTTCAAGTCAGCATTCTATAAGGGTAAATCAAGATCTGTTAAGGATAGTTTGAACAAGGGGAGGAAACATTAAGTATTGATTGAGACATATATCCAGTATTTGGTACGCATTATTTAGTAGTGCAACCTATTAAAATTTGAATTAGTTACTGACTCTTTGATTATTTTATTCAAAGGAGTGAAGTTAATATTTAGGTGTTTTAGATAGGATTCCAAGATAGGACAAGGGATCTTCGGGAAATTTTATCACAATTAATTCAACGTGCACTGTGTGAACAGTCTCAGAGGGCTGTCCTTTGCCTCCGTTAGACCATTCTTTGGGTTCTCACTGCAGTCTTTGTTCTTACTTACTTACTTACTTACCTGTAGGTCTACAATGTTTTACCCCAAGCATGCAAGGGACAGTGAATAATAACAAGATCAAGGATTTCTTACTAATTACTGTTGACAGTGTCACAGATTTTGCCCCCCTTGCCAGCTAACAAGTTAGCCTGCCATAGTTTCACGGAAGCTGGCAGGAGACGAGATACCTGGGTCAGAGACAAAGGGCTTTACTGCTCACAGCACAACAAGCAGCATGAGCTTCAAATTCAGGTCCCTGCTAGGTCCCACAGGAGTACAGAGAGGCGGGCTCAGGTGGATTTTGCGCACAGTAAGTTTGCAACACAGCTCAGGAACCTCAAGCTTAGGAAACCCAAATCTTTTATAAGAAGGCTGCAACCAAACCTGCCTAACCTTTGCCTCCAAAGGAGAGATTATCTTTATTATACTGTACAGCGAACATGGCCCCTTGCCCAGGAGGAGATGCTATCTCAATCTTCAAGGCTTTTGCTATAGGAACATTCTTGAAAAGACAGTCCATAAGAAAAGCCAGCACCAGGCATGCTTGACAAGATTGCAGCTACTATGTAAAAAATATCTCAACTCAGGATACTAATATTACCTTCCTCATTGGCTTTTGGTAGAATTAAATGAGATAATACATGTAAAAGTGCTTAGTACTGTTAAATGCTCAATCAATGCAGGCTATTATTATTATATAATACTCTAGCACATACTCAGATATAAGACCTTTACAACTTGAGCTTCTCTCCCCCATTATATAACAAATATATGCTTTTTTTTCCTTTTAGACTTCATTTTTTAGAGCAGTTTTAGGTTCACAGCAAAACCAAGCATAAAGTACGTAAAGTTCCCTTAACACCCCTGTCCCCAAACATGCACAGCTTTCCCTACTATCCACATCTGCAGCAGAGTGGTACATTTGTTATAAGTGATGAAACTACATTGATACATATTTATCACTCAAAGTCCAGAGTTTACGTTAGGGTTCACTCTTGGTGTTGTACATTCTATATACATTTGGCCAAATGTATAACGACATGTATCCACCATTATAGCGTCATACAGAGTAGTTTCACTGCCCTAATAATCCGCTGAGCTCTGTCTATTCATCCCCTCCTCCCTAACCCCTGGCAAACACTGATCTTTTTACCGTCCCCATCGTTTTGCCTTTTCCACTGTCATAGTTCGAATCAAACAGTATATATTGTTCTCATTAAAAACAAAAAAGAATTCTTAAGAAAAAGTCATCCATAACTTTCCTATCCAGTAATCTCTTTAACTTTACAATTAATTTCTAACCGACATCTTTCTAGATATCTTTGTCTGTTTTTTACATTCCTTTTGTCCTTCAAAAAGTTCATTTGTCATTAGTTTAATAATCTCCACAAAACTTTTTAATGATTCAAGCATACTTTATATATCAGTCAGGATAGAGTAGTTTATGCTGGCTCCCAATAACAAAGGCTTATTTCTTGTTCACACTATGTGTCTTGTGTGCTATCATGGGGGTCCACTCATTATGGTCACTCAAGGACTCAGGTTCATGGGTGCAGATACATCACACAGTCATGCTTGAAAAAAAAGAATGCTCAGGAAGGTCTCACACTCTTCATCACTGCTTAAAACTCCTTATCAGAACTGGTCACATGGCTGCACCAAACTGAAAGGGGCCAGCAAGAGCAGTCTTACCATGTGCAGGGCAGGCAGAGCTAGAGATGTCGGTGAGCAGGATTCAGGACTCCACTCTACACTGTGCCTAGTAACAACAAGATTCAACCCATAAGAAGAGTCATTGTTGCCCCATTTAAATAAAATTAAATAAGTCATTTAAAAAAATGTGTTCCAGGGATTAATCAAAGCGAATAAACGAAAAGCATGAAATTACCAAAATCTTTATTGTGGTTAAGGTATTCCTCTTTGTCTATTGTGCTAAAAATACCAAACACTTGAGTGAAGTTCATCTGCAGTCTCTGGGGGTAACAATCAAGAAATCTTGGTACTGCTGATTCCAAAATCACTTCCTTTTTCTAAGTGTTATTGTTAAACTAAACTAAGATAATGCTTAAGTTTAAGCCCACTTAACTATTGCTATGCTAGAAATGTTACAGAAGATGGAAGATGTGAGCTGAAAAGAGGTGACAACAGAATTAGATGGCAAGGACCGTGTATGTAAATATATATATATATTTATACAGTATAGAAAACTTGATAGTAAAAATCCCAGTGATGATATTAATGTTCTCAATCACTTAAGAAAGTTAAACCCTATGTATGTGAAGGCAATTTAGTTTCTCCTAAGTAGTAGGCAAGTACAGGCATACCTCATTTTATTGCACTTTGCAGATACTGCATTTTTTACAAATTGAAGGTTTGTGGCAGATATTTAAGAAATACATTTCATAAGGCTATAGCTGCCATAGATAGTGATTCCTTTGATGGATCTGGGCAAAGTAAATTGAAAACCTCGGGAAAGTATTCACCATTCTAGATGCCATTAAGAACATTTGTGATTTATGTGAAGATGTCAAAATATCAACATTAACTGGAGTTTGGAAGAAGTTGATTCCAACCCTCATGGATGACTTTGAGGGGTTCAAGACTTCAGTGGAGGAAGTCACTGCAGATGTGGTGGAAATAGCAAGAGAACTAGGATTAGAAGTGGAGCCTGAAGATGCGACTGAATTGCCGCAATCACATGATAAAACTCTAATGTGTGAGTAGCTGCTTCTTATGGATGAGCAAAGAACGTGGGTTCCTCAGATGGCATCTACTCCTGGTGAAGATGCTGTGAAGATCGTTGAGATGAAAACAAAGGACTTAGAATGTTACATAAACCTAGTGGATAAAGCAGTGGCAGGGTTTGAGAGGACTGACTCCAGTTTTGAAAGAAGTTCTACTGTGGCTGACATGCTATCAAACAGCCTGGGATGTTACAGAGAAATCGTTTGTGAAAGGAGGAGTCCATCAATGCCGCAGACCTCATTGTTACCTTATTTTAAGAAATTGCCACAGCCCCCCAGCCTTCAGCAACCCCCACCCTGATCAGTCAGCAGCCGTCAACATCGAGGCAAAACCCTCCACCAGGAAAAAGATTACAACTCGCTGAAGGCTCAAATGATGATTAGCATTTTTTAGCGACAAAGTATTTTTTAATTAAGGTATGCACATTGTTTTCTTAGACATAATGCTATTGCACACTTAACAGACCACAGCATAGTGTAAACATAACTTGTATATACACTGGGAAACCAAAAAATTTGTGTGACTTGCTTTATTGCAATATTTGCTTTATTATTGTGGTCTGGAACCAAACCCACAATATCTCTGAGGTCTGCCTGTAATAGAGCATTTTCTATAGGGTCAAAGGAAAAAAACTGGCAGAATGGTGAAGAAAGTGTTGCAACCATCTCTCTTACCTTTACCCTAAGCTATCTAACAGCCATGCAATCTAACCAACCAGATGTGTGAAGCAAACCACCAACTACTGTTTGCCTTCAGAAGTTAGATCATGATTAAATTTTCTAAAGTTCCCTTCCCAAGTACCTTTCCTGCTTTCACCAATTTTAGTGACTCATTTCTAAGTTAAGTTTATGATTGGCTCACAGTTCTCTTCCCCAACTGTGCTGTTTCACTAGATACCTCCCCTACAACCCTAGCGAACGCTGATATCAAAACATCAGCATCAAAGAGGTGGGTTCCCTGTGCACACCATCACCAGGGACAAAAAATAATTCTTTCAAAACAAAGGACAACACAGGGTCCGGCCCAGAGGCATAGTGGTTAAGTCTGCATGCTCTGTTTTGGCGGCCTGGGGTTCACAGGTTTGGATACCAAGTGCGGACCTACGCACTGCTTATCAAGCCATGCTCTGGCAGTGACCCACGTATAAGGTAGAGGAAGATGGGCACGGATGTTAGCCAAGAGCCAAGCTTCCTCAGCAAAAAGAGGAGGATTGGCATTGGATGTTAGCTCAGGGCTAATCTTCCTCACAAAAAAAAAAGGACAACACATATGCAACATTTAAATAATATTATATTCAAATATACAACTTTAAAAATATATTTCCAAGCTAATACCATTTCTATCTTTCTGTATTAGATATGTAAGGAAATTATCTCCATGAGGAAAAATGTGAGTTAAAGAGAAAATACCTTTTAAAAACATAGGTAGGTTCTTTTTGTCAGCTAAACTAATTTGCTGGGGAGTGACAGGCCATGAAGACTTTCAATTTCATTTTTTTGGTGGCACGTGGCTGCCTAACATATTAAGATAGCAAACCCACAAACCAAGCATTCCATCTCGATATAAAAAACTGCAAGTTTAAATCTAGCTCCTTTTCCCTTGTTCCAAGGCCCAGCATCAGATTTAGGCAAGTTAGCACACCTCACGGGAAACCTCAAAAGTAAGATGTTCTGTTCTGCTGAGTGAGGGTGAAGCTATAGGATTATTTATTTCCTTATTGGCTTTCAGGGCACCAATACTAGCTGCTAATTCCAGATTTCAGGTTCTCATTTGTGAAGAATCCAATCTGGTGAGGTAGAGGGCATTTGTGTAGCAGTTCCCCAGACAATTAGGATACACAGTAGGGTCTAAGAATAAGGGACCTAATAGCATCCACAAAACTACAGCTTTCTAGCCCTAAATTATAAAGAACATTAAATATGAAGATGAATGTGGAAAAAATAGAGCAGGTATACTCAAGTTTGAGGACAATACTGTACTGTTTTATTAACGACTCCTCATGGAAAAGATAATGATTTTGAAGGAAAGGATGATGCTGAGAAACACACACACAACTCTGTTTCGTTGTCAGAGAGTTGACTCAGCGCTTAGGAAAACAAGACCACGCTAGACGACATATTCACTGACTCACGTCTAACTGCAATCACCAACCTCTGCACAAGAGATCAGTAAAAGCACAGTATAGGCAAGTGCCCTAAACAATTTTAGGAAGAAATTATCAATACTAAATATTAGTCGCTAAAAGAGCAAGGCTTTTTGCGGCTAAAGAACCATTACATGTGGAAAGCTCCATCAGTGGAAAGAAAGACAATCCACACAATTGCTCATCAGAAGATTGTCAATATTTTGTACTATGTGCAAAAAAAAAACACGCACCTTTATTATTAACAGCCTTCTTTCCTCTTTAAGCCGGTAGGGCACATTATGCAAAACTGATAATCAGTGATGGAAGACACATCGCTGGAACATAGTAAAACTCAATCAGGTCTAATCAAGCGGTGACTCATCGTTATCTTGGTTCTTTGGGTCTAAAAAACTTGTATACTGTAATTATTTTAAGTATCCAAATATAGATTATTTCTTTTTGCTTTAATACATCACTATGGAAATAAATCCCCAAAGTAGCAATTTCTTGAAACATTAAGCAGAAATCCAAATATCAATTAACATTTAAACATATACAAAACACACACATATTCATTTTCAGGGGATATACAAAGCTTAAATAAAACTAGACAATAAAAAAACTTCAGATACAGAAAGTGACAGTGCTCCTTCAGCATAAATTTATTTTTGTGCTTATTTTAGACAAAGAACTTAGAAGACATGAAGCACCCTATATGGTGAGTATAGTCAGGAACCTTTGCACCTTGTTTCTTCTTTAAATATAGATGCTGACAGAAAAGATGGATTACATGCAGTCCACTTTTTCCTCAGTTGGTTGATTGTTTAGAGAATTATAAACCATGAAACTGAACTGAGTGAATGTTGGAAGTTTATGGCAGGCAGCACCTGGGGCCACGAAAAGAGAAAGTTGTTTCATTCAATATGGAATGCACATACTTACAACCAACACAGACATCACTTATTCGCCTTGACCTTGGCTGCTGTACGCCTGATGTCCTACTAAGCCACCCAGAAGTGTGCTAGTGTGTCCTTCTTAGTACTGATGAGTTGACAGTCCATGAGAGGAAAGAAAGGTGGCAGGGAAGCCAGCTCTTTGAACCTCAGAATACAGGCTGATTTTTGCTCTACACACACGCTGTCATTGCTACTACTATTTTCCTCTGTATCCTTTTCTTAGCAAAAAAAAAGTTTTCAGGTGGGGCCAGCCCCGTGGCGTAGTGGTTAAGTTTGGCGTGTTCCGCTTTAGCAGACTGGGTTCTCGGGTTCAGATCCCGGGTGTGGACATACACCATGCGTCACTCATGCTGTGGTGGCGACCCACATATAAAGTAGAGGAAGAGTGGCACAGATATTAGTTCAGGGCTAATCTTCCTCAGCAAAAAAAACAAAAATAAAAAAAAAATTAAGTTTTCAGGTAAATGCTAAAAATTTTATTTTCCTAGCCACTAGAACATTCCTGTCCTTCATCCATAATTTTTCCCTCTCCCTGCTCATAGTGAGTTATTTGTGAAGATGCTCTGTCTAATCAAGTTCATCTTACTAAAGGGGTTTTCCTCGGCCCTACCTACCTCTGACAACATCGGATTTCCTTCCTTGCTCAAACCCTGGAGGGTCCCCTTCTAATGCCATTACTTTAAATATAAGGAATTCGTCGATTCCAAATTCATCTATGATTATATAATTATCATTTTTACATCCTGTTATATCCAACTTTGAGCCTTTTAAGGTTTATTTCTTAAAAGGAAATCAACGAAAATGACTTATTTTATACATAAAGCTTTCCTTCTATAACTTATATTGATTTTTATATCTTTTTTAAAAAAAATAAGGAATTCCTCAAACAAGTTTTTCAAATACAGAACTGTGGGAAGTAAAAGATCAAAGAACAATAATAAGCTGTCTAACCTAATCAGTTATATTGATCAGTAAGCCGTGTATCTTCCTCATCTGAAAATTCACTAATGAGCAGCAGTAGTGGTTGATCTGGAAAGGCTTTGAAACTGTGGTGGGCTCATCTAGAAAGTAAATGAAGCAAAGGACATGCCTCAAATACGGTGCAAAGATAATTCTGCTCACTTCTTTGGTTTACTAATTAGAATACATTTTGTACCTTGGAGCCCCAAGGAGATCTAAATGACTGAGACATTTAAATACTGACTGGAAAAGAAGTAGGGAAGATAATTTACCCCTATCGACTCCTAACTAATCAAAGCATCTGACTAGATGAGCCCACCTCAGCACATACTGGAGCTGAACCTGAACTTTACACAGAACAGATGTCAAAGATAAGAACTAACAGCCAAAGACCAGATCATAACTACCAGCAGTCAACCAAGGGATGGTTTTAGGTATATTTTTAACACTTTGGGGGTCTTGACAGATCATCAATTAACATTTATCCAGCGCCTATTCAATATACTCCCTGTTTCTATGGTATAGGAATAAAATACACCACAATATTTTCAAGGGTATGTTCTCATCAACGTTTGCAAGTTCACACAAATATGAATTCCAAACAAAACTTACCATAACTTCCGGTCACATTGGCACATATAACAGCCCCAAAGAAGTCTGGAAAATACTTGTGAATTCTTGAAATCACTTTCTGGCAAGCTGTGGTTGGATCTGCTCCTCCTCTCATATATTCTACAGCTTGGTAGCTGATGGAAACAGGGGGCATCTTGAGTATCACAGAATGAACGAACTCCCAATTTGGTTACTTGAAGTTAGAAATCTGAAACCACTGAAACTGTCGTATTGGAGAGAATATGGAAACGAACAGGAGTCTGTAACTCCTGTGAAAACATCAATATGAAGGCAGTAGACCTTGACACAATGTCTATCTTTTTAACTAACCTACCCGTTAATTTCAGATAAGGACTATTATTTTTGGCTTTGGCGGAATAACTGTTACTTAGTAATAACAGCCAGAAGTCATAAAGTCCAGAGGTTACATTTATATAAGAAATGGGCTACAATGAAGGGGGAAAATGCCAGGCATGCGCAAAACATCTAGTTGTAATGATTATCTTTCAGTAATTAATTGTACACAGAACTGCATTTCCTACTTTCATCATCAATTATCACAGTTCCTTTACTCAGTGGCCTTACATAAATTATTTAAATAGATCATAAGTATGCTCATTTGTGAAGCAGAGTGAGAAATATTATTCTATTTCAGAGGACTGTGAATACTTAATTTGAATGACTACCATTATCAAAAATGATAGGAAAGAGTTTGTAAGCCGAGTTTCTAAAAAGCTCTTGTACACACAAGTTCAGATTACATGGCACAAACAATTATTTTCTGTTTTGACAGATGATATCTCCTCTAAGGAGCTCTAACAGTCATCTACACGTAAGAAGTCACACCTTGGCAGAAAGCGCATCAATATGTCACCATCCCCAGTGGCCGCAGCTGCTCCCGCTGTATCATCAGCATAGGCCCCTGCTCCAGGTACTGGCGAGTCTCCTACTCGACTTTGTGAGGACAGAGGATAATAATTTAGGACAGGAAACCAAGTGGAACAACTAAATCATTTTATGAATGTTTCAACAATAAGGGATATTTCTAGTCAGCCACTGAATATTGTTTTAAGTAAAGTCTTCATCAGAGCACAGAAAAAAAAGATTTTCACTCATTTTTCAACTTAGGTTTCTACAAACCTACATTAATTATATAAGAATTAGACATCAGCCAGTTATATATCAAGAAGGCAAAAATTTACAGGGACTATTCTATTATTACCATCCTTGCTCATCTGATTTCTAGAATGTCTCAACAGGTCCAAATTCATTTTCCTCACCTGCAATCTATTCCTCCTTTCTAACGAATGTGCCAAAATCTTACCAAGGTTTATGCTTGCAATAAACCTTCAGTTCTTTTCTACTACTTTGAAATACTTTGAAATACAATCCAGAAATCCTTAAACTGACTTAAGAGCTCCCGAAATGTGACTCCAGTCTTCCTTCCCTGCTCCCAGCATACACACAATTTCTCTCCCAGCCAGCGGGCACCCTGATCTGAGTGTGAACTACTTTGGATCTGCTAGTGCCCTGGCCTGGATGTTCCCTCTCCCTTCCTTAGGCTGAGGCTCAGCTCCCAGCGTCTGTGTACTGGCCTCCCCAACTCCCCCAGCTCAGTGAGATCACCACTGCCACCCCTGACCTCTACAGCACGGCCAAGACGCTCTCTCCTTTGGCACTTAGCAGATACTAATTTATTTTCTTCCACATTTATCTATCTCAGCTGTGGTGGGAGGGGGGGCCTGTGCTTTGCATTCTGTATCTCCCATAGCACCTAGCACATACACATTTGCGAGAGCTGTTCTTTTAGAAACACTAACCCAGGTATTTTGAATTTTATACCATTTGTAGATGTACCAGCAGCAGAATGTCCCATCTTATGGATTACAACCATGCCTAGAAGTTAAAAAAAAAAAAAAAAAATCATTGTAGGTATCAACTCTAAAGTTTACCTCAAATACAACCAAATAATTGAACAGTTGGTAATATAAATATCCTTTTTCATTAATTTCAGGTAGAAGAAAATAAGAAACTTAGGAATGTTGAAAATTATACCAGTGGTATAATTTGTGCCTTTTAATGACCTGGTTTCATTGCTCCATTTGGTAGACATCCCAGATCCTCATTCTCCAAATCGCTCAGTTACTTTTCTATGCCTTTTCAAAGGTAATTCCAAAGAAAACCGCTGACATAGACTAATGGAAATTTTCAACATTACAGCTTGGAAAGATCACTTGAATGTGGCAAACAACATGAAATTATTAAAGAACTAAATATCAAATAAAGATTTAAAAATTCACAAATGAATAATCATTAGATTTTAGGGGTCTTGTATAAGGTAATTTGCCAAAATGTAAAAAAGCATTTAGCATCTTAGCAGATGCTAAGAAAAAAATGTGCATGTGTGTGTTTATATATATATAATATAATATATATATATATATAAAGCAGTTAAAACAATCAAAATCACCTTCTGGTACACGAATAGGGAGGAAGAAGTTAAGAAACACAGACAGGCAATTAAAAATGGCTGGACTTTAACCATAAAAACTGTAAAAAAGGCAAATAATTACCAATAGTATCATGACCATAATTATTTCCTGTTTCTTTATAGGAAGGACCATCTTGCTTTAAGATACTAGGTGGTTTGTAGGGTCCACAGTATTTTGAAGCATCTGGTATAACATTCTGTAAACAAGATTTAAGTTTTACTTTTTAGAATGGGTGATTTTAGAAATCGGCAGGTAGTTACATACAATCACTAAACATTAGCAAGAAACCAAAAAGACATCTGGTAACTGAAAAATAAGAATTAAAAGCCAAAGATTAGCTAAGCCTTATGTGAACAGATGGATATAATTTTACTAAATACTTAGTCTAGTCTCAGAATTACATAATATGGAATAGACTTCGATATTGTCCGGAAAAGATCCCCGATTTTTCTTTATATGCCTAAAATTCTCAGTGCAATGGTAGGTATAAATGAAGATTTTTTTATTAGCTATTAATCCTCAAAGGAATTAGGTACACAACCTGACATTTAAATTTCAGATTTTTTCCCCTGGCCAAGGAAAAATTCTGAGATTTAAATGGAAATCTATTTTAAAACCATGTTTTTTCCCAAGCTGGGTTCATGTGAACATAATCTAAGTTTAATAATAATCCTTAGTAATCTAAGAATCCTTAGGGGCCGGCCCCGTGGCATAGCAGTTAAGTGAATGTGCTCCGCTGCTGGCTGCCCGGGTTCGGATCCTAGGGGCACACTGATGCACCGCTTGTCAAGCCATGCTGTGGCGGCATCCCATATAAAGTGGAGGAAGAGGGGCACAGATGTTAGCCCAGGGACAGTCCTCCTTAGCAAAAAGTGGAGAATTGGCATGGATGTTAGCTCACGGCTGATCTCCCTCACACACACACACACACACACACACACACACACACAAAAAAAATAAATAAATAAATAATCTAAGAATCCTAAAGGAATCTTAGAGGCTCAAGAAAATAATCCAAATTCATGAATTTAGGTTGTATATATGGATTAGTATTAAAACAAGAAACCTGCCACTCATGTCTTATCCATTAGTGCACTCGGTGCCTCCCCTGACCTGGGTTTATACGGCAGCCTCTTTCAAGTGCTCACCCCAGAGACCTCCTGGTTACTCAAAGGTAATGAGGATTTGGGGAAGAAACAGATGAGAGACTAAGAGAGTCCACAGAAGTCCTCTGGATGGCAAAGACAAACTGATTCACAGTAAAAGTCCCACTAATTTAAAGACAAATTATCCCATTAGTAACATGCTAGACACCTGCAGGTATAAATCCTCAAGTCAAATAAGGGCAAGATACTGGGGATACTTTACATGGATAAAATCTAAGAAATAGTTTAGACTAACAGTTTCCAAACTTCGATTTTTTAGACTTGGAACCTTTTGTTACAAGGAGATAGAAGCGTAGTTCTGATGGAGGCAGGCCCCTCTCCCCACAGCTGAACCAGCACAGTGTGAAAACTATTGCCAGGGACCAGTCGTTCTCCAGCCTGGACGTGCATTAGATGCAGCCGGGGAGCTTGCAAGAGCATCCAGGCCCAGAGAGTCAGTGAAATCTTTGGTTCTAAAGTGCAGCCAGGGTGCTAACCAGCAGAACAGAGAGCAGAAGGGATGTCACTTAATATTTCTGAGTAATCTACTTTTAACAATTATGTATACATACCCTCCAGTGATTTGGCTGGCAATTCCGAGCAAGCCAATCTGAATGAAGAGCTCGAGAAGCATTGGTAGATAAATCCTCATTGATAAACCCCATACTTTCAGCAAACTTGGTGGCTGGAGATTGGGAAGATAAGAAAAACGTAAATTAGTTAAGTGCTGTCTTCTAAACAAGAGACATGTCCAGGAAGTGTTCTTGGTCAGCTGTGTCTTAAGTGAGGCACAAGCATCCCGGGGGAACACCAAGACTTCCAAAAGAGTGTTCAGACACGAACAGTTTTAAGGGCACCAGTGTGTAGACCTCAACTTCCATACGTCCTTCCTAAAACTGATCTGCTGGAGACCCCTGGGGTGTGTGTTATGACAGTTCTCCTTTCCCACCTTCCCTACACAATCTTTCTTGTACTTTACAAAGGAAAAGGCACACCTCTCACCAACAAAGAATCTTACTTCTCTAATCAGGGTGCAACGCCCAGGGTGTAAAAAGCTTTGGAGACACCAAACAAAGGGAGAGCTGGATTCCGTGAATGAGCAACAGATCCTTTTGCTTGTCAGGCAGTTTTCAATTCTATATTTCAACAAAATTGAAGGATAGCTACTGGAGTTAACTAACACATCCTTAAATATTACTTTTAATTACAAATCACTGTATGATTTTTGGCATATGACTAGGAAGACGTTCCAGTGACAGTGCCACAGCAAAACTCCTTCCATCCCCTTCTTATGTTAATGATGCTCTGTGGGTCTCATACCTGTAAAATTGTAATACAGGAGGAGAAATGACGCTGAGTCGTGTTTCAGTCCAGCAATTACCCATCTACAGATAACGAACTAATTTTTTAAATCTTATTTTAAAGCTGAAGAAAGTGAGAATTTAGAAGTTAAGGAATTTATCCAAAGTTGAGTAGATATTAAGTAAAACAGCTGGAATTTGAACTTAGGTCGGCTTCTATCCTCTACTTGATACTGAGTCCTTTTTTCACGGTAAAGAATACAGACATAAGACTAGTTAAAACTTCAGTACAGCGGAAATATACCTGACTCTCCTACTAAAAGTGTGTGTGCCGTATGTTCCAGTACTTTCCGTGCCACACCAATCGCGTTTTTAATTCGTCTAAGATCTCCTACGGCTCCTACGTTCATCGTAGTGCTGCAAGAAAAAAAGTCCGGTACATGTTTATTAAGGTATTTTCATAGGTTCATAGATAAAAAAACTATTGCTTTACTCCAAGAACAGTGTTCTGTGGGACAAACGCCACCATCTTAATGTAGAAGAGCACACCCATGAAGTTCGTACAAATTCCCACCATCAGATAAATTAAGGAACAAACAGAAAATCAATTTACCATATACTCCAACAGCACTAAAATGCTGTTTCTCCTGGCTCATTTTAAATACGGCTTTTGAAAGGGGTTTTAAGGCTTCAGGTCAGGCAAACCACAGCATTTGTAGATGGCAGGCAAGTGACTGTTGACCAGGTCAGAGACATATTTTTGCAGCCTGGGGTTCTCCCACTTCCATGAGATATTTCTGTTATTTTTATGATTTTCTTTTAACTGAGAGGGAAACTCCTCGTGTCTGGAAAGGCCAAGTACAATAAGCTAGGGGGTGTGACATGTGACAACACTTAGATAGTCATCCATCGTGTTCTCAGTAGAAGACTGATCAGCTATCAATGTAACTCAACATGAAGGCAAGATGCAGAGACAAATCGGTCCCGAAGAGCCTTCTTACCCATCCATGATCATGGCATCCAGCGTGGTCTCTCCAGACTCATCAGGACTTCCTCCAAAGCCCACAGTGCCATCACACTGCTCCCGCTCACACATGGCACAGCCACTCTCCACTGCGTCCACGGCGGAACCTCCAGCTGCCAACGTCCTCCACGCTGTTAATCAAACCCCAATAGTGCTTCTTTATATATCTATTTTTTTTTTTTTTTGGTGAGGAAGATTTTCCCTGAGCTAACATCTGTGCCCATCTTCCTCTATTTTGTATATGGGACGCCACCACAGCATGACTTGATAAGCTGTGTGTAGGTCTGTGCCCGGGGGCCGAACCCACAAACCCCAGGTCACTGGAAGTGGAGCACTGGAACCTAACCACTATGCCACTTGGCCAGCCCCTATATATCTATTTTTTTAAAATGTCAAATGCAACAAACCAGAAACATTTTTAGAACTCATAGTTTAAGTTTTTTTTCACATTTACTCTAAGTTAAACTGAATTTTTAAGTTAGTTTATCAAGTGCTACAAAGGAGTCAGAGTGACATAAAATTAAATAATGCAACTATTTACTGCAAAGAATTCAGACTTTGGCTCTTGATATGAAGTGAGGGTTTTTTTTTCACTCATTAATATCTATTTCTACTGTATGAGTGAGAAAAGAAATAATATCTCCTTCAATTTTAAAAGTTACAATCTAAGCTACTAAAAGACAGTTAAGTTGAAAATTCATTAAGTAATAGCCTTAAATTTCTTCTGTCATTAGATTATTGAAAATACACATAACTAACACTTTTACTGAGGTATCTGTCACAGCAAATCTCAACAACACCGTCACAGCAACTAACTACAACGTGGGCTTCACGTGGATTAATTCATTTAATCTTCACAACAGCTTTTCAGGTAAGTACTGTACAATTACTATCCTCATTTTAAACAGGAGGAAACAGACTCAGAGAGGTTAAAGTAACGTAACCTTAAGGTCACACAGCTGGTAAACAGCAGAGCCAGGATTCAAAAATACCCATTTCGGCTCGAGTGGCCAGGCTTTCAGCACTAGACTAGGTTCAGGGGAGCCCCATACAATGAAAAAGACAAACAAGGTCTTCAATGGTCAGTTTCTTCACCAATAAACATAAATTCCTTGAAGGATAGGTACTACTATTGGCAAATAATGTAATTACTACTGGACCTATAGGCTTGAAAATATAATTTTGAAAAGCTCCCCCTTGCACTACATGCCACATACACAGAATTGTCCCCTGCCTAGGCCGCTGCACTTTCTTTCTGTCTCATTATCGCTGGGCCCTCTTTCTCCCAGCCTGTTCTCTCATTTTCTCTGAATCGTAGCACTGCCCATAACATACAAACTTGGCTCCACCAAATTCTGCCCCAGAAAGTTACATTAGCAGCCTCAGATGGGGGAGCAGGAGTCTAAAATTACCCTTGTGGTAGTATATTTTGAGATGAAGGAAACAAACACACACAATACAATGAGAAAATGCCAAGATGGTATGTACAGGATAATATCAAGGCACAGAAGATAGGCACCTAACTCAGACTGGGCATAAGAGCAGTAGATCAGGGAAGGCTTTTGGGAAGAGATGATACCTCAGCTGCGTGGTTCTCAATCCTGGCTGCAAATCAAAATCACTTAGGGAGCTTTTAAAAAAACAGATGCTTTCGTTCCAGCAGTTAAATCAAAAACTCAGGAGATGGGGCCCAGGCACAGGTACTCTACAGAAGCTCCGCAGATGTTTTGAACGTACAGCCAGGATTGGAACCCCGCATTCCAGGTGGCAAATACAGCATATCAGCATCTAGCAAAAAAGAAGGAAATGCACAGAGTATGCTTTGTTCAGGAAATAATTAGTCATTTGCAAAGCGCGAGTACAGGCTATTGGGGAGAACTGCGGGGTTAGAAAGGAGAGGTGGAGAGGCAGACAGGAGACAGCCCTGAAAGGACTGAAGGCAGGCCACGGCGTGGGCGCCCCGGGAAGAGTCCACGCAGAAAGGCCCTAACTGCTCTCGGTCAGCCGCAGGGGGCCGATGTATGGGCGCGGGGGCTGAATGGAGTGAGTGCAGGGAGTCAGCAAACGCTGAGGACCTGAGATGCAGCAGGGGCAGGGAGGCGGGAGCAAGGGTCAACTGCAAGAGACGCAGCGAGGCAGGAGGTGCAGCGGGGGCTGGGAGCTGAGACTAGGAAGGCCCGGCCCGGGCAGCTGCTCGCCTGCGCTCCCGGCCCCCGTAACCTCAGCGGAGTCAGCCGGCCGGTCCTCCCCGCTGCAAGCTCGCGCAGCGCAGTCCCCGGCCCGGCCGCCGCCCGCACCTGCTTCCGTGGCATTCTTAAAGGGCCAGGTGTTGACGACCAGGGGCAGAGGGCTGGAGCTGCGCGCCAGGGCCGGGCCGAGCAGGAGCGGCACGACAAGCAGCAGCAACTTCGACTTCCGCGCCATGGCTGCGCGCGAGCGCGAGAAAGGTCACGGCCGCCCCGAGGCCGCAGACCCGGCGGCCCGCGCTCGGCGCGCTCGTGACTCCCAGCGCCCCGCCCACCTGGCCGCCACGCCCACTCGCTGGGGGCGTGTCGGCGCTCCCTCAAGTCTCGCGAGATGTAGGCGCTCGGGGACCGAGGGAAGTGGTTGCACCGCCGGCATAGTGGGTGCGGGCTATGGTGTCTTAGTTCTACGTAGTTTTTTTTTTTTTTTTGGGTATGAAATTATGCAGCTCTGGATTGCCTGAATCTAGGAACTTTTCTGTTTGGTTTTAACGTATTATCCTTTTAATTAAAAGTTGAAATTGGTAGGTTTGCCAGACTCAAAGCGTGCTCTCTGGGATTCCTGGGCTCAGGACCTGGGATGGTTATGGAGTGTGGGTGAAGCCAGCCTGCTACGGCCAGACTCGCTTGAGTGTTTTCCCACCCCAGCTCTTTGTAGGACGTCCTCTTGTTATACATCCCTGAGCTGAAGGAAGAGGAGAAACAGTCCGGGGAAACAGAATTAACCCACCCAGCTCACCGAAGTGTCCCTTCCTGCACCTCCAGGGCTGGCATGCTACCTCCATTCCTTTTTGAAGTATTTTACCTTGTGCCCCACGCCATTGAGTGCCGTATTTTGGGGCCTCCAACCTGAGGGGTGTCAAAACAAGGACTCAGGATCCAAAATGAAACAAACAAGAAGGCGATAGCTGTCCCTGGGAGAGAAAGGATCAGCAACCAGTGGGTTCCCGGAGGCTAACTCAGGAGTCACATTGAAAGATCTAATTCTTTTTTTTTTTTTAATGGAAAAATAATTCATGACTTTATTCTGATAGTTCCAATTCAATTTGTAGATTATAGAGGTTTTTTCTGTTTTTTTAATTGTGAAATTTTTGTTGTACATATTATTTATCAGTCACCATATAAGTGCATCCCTCCACCCCTTGTGCCCACCCCCCACCCCCCTAGCCCCTGGTAACCACCAGACAGTTCTATCTGTCCGTGTGTTGGTTTCTTTTCCACATATGAGTGAACTCATGCACTGTTTGTCTTTCTCTTTCTGGCTTATTTCACTTAACATAATACCCTCCGGGTCCATCCATGTTGTTGCAAATGGGACTATTTTGTCTTTTTTATGGCTGAGTAGTATTCCATGGTATATATACACCACATCTTCTTTATCTAATCATCAGTCCAGGGACACTTGGGTTGCCTCCATGTCTTGGCTATAGTGAATAATGCTGTGATGACCATAGGGGTGCATAAGCCTCTTTGGATTGTTGATTTCAGGTTCATTGGGTAGACACCCGGCAGTGGGATAGCTGGATCATAAGGTATTTCTATTTTTAATTTTTTGAGGAATCGCCATACTATTTTCCATAGAGGCTGCGCCAGTTTGCATTCCCACCAGCAGTAGTTTAGGGTTCCCATTTCTCCACAGCCTCTCCAGCATTTGTTGCTTTTTGTCTTGGTGGTTATAGCCATTCTAACGGGTGTCAGATGATATCTTAGTGTTGTTTTGATTTGCATTTCCCTGATGATTAGTGATGTTGAGCATCTTTTCATGTGCCTATTGGCCATCTGTATATCTTCTTTGGAGAAGTGTCTGTTCATTTCCTCTGCCCATTTTTTGATCGGGTTGTTTGTTTTTTTGTTATTCAGTTGTATGAATTCTTTATATATTATGGAGGTTAATCCCTTGTCAGATATACGGTTTGCAAATATTTTTTCCCAGCTGGTGGGTTCCCTGTTCATTTTGATCCTGATTTCATTTGCGTTGTAGAAGCTCGTTAGTCTGATGAAGTCCCACTTATTTATTTTTTCTTTTGTTTCCCTTGTCTGAATAGACATGGAATTCAAAAAGATCCCTTTATGGCTGATGACAAGTAGTGTACTACCTATATTTTCCTCCAGGAGTTTTATAGTTTCAGGTCTCACCTTCAAGTCTTTGATCCATTTTGAGTTAACTTTTGTGTATGGTGAAAGAAGATGGTCTACTTTCATTCTTTTGCAAGTGGCTGTCCAGTTTTCCCAGCACCATTTATTGAAGAGACTTTCACTTCTCCGCTGTATGTCCTTAGCTCCTTTGTCAAAGATTAGCTGCCCATAGATATGAGGTTTTATTTCTGGACTTTCAATTCTGTTCCATTTATCTGTGTGTCTGTTTTTGTACCAGTACCATGCTGTTTTAATTACTATCGCTTTGTAGTATGTTTTGAAGTCAGGGATTGTGGATTCCTCCAGCCTTGTTCTTCTTTTTCAGGATTGCTTTAGCTATACAGGGTCTTTTGTTGCCCCATATGAATGCTAGTATTCTTTGTTCTATTTCTGTGAAGAATGTCCTTGGGATTCTGATTGGGAATTGTATTCACTCTGTAGATTGCTTTAGGTAGTATGGACATTTTAACAACGT